GGGGGAGTGCACAAGTAGCTGGTCTTGCCTAGGGCGCAAAATAGTCTAGTTCTGGCCTTGCATACTGGCAGATTATGATATTACCTTGCAGTGGGAAACTTTTTTTAAGCTTTCTTACAGCTTTAAATAAATTATTGTAATCACAAATATAATATAATATCCATTTTTTGTACATTATAAAAGAAGATGTTGCATCAAGTAGATACCAAACATGTCAAGATTTAAAGTGGTTGTAAAGGCTCAAGATTGCATTCTTCTGTGTGCAGCAGCCCCCTAATAAATATCTGAGCCCCATAACCATTACGCAATGTGCATGAGAGCCTCAGCTCTCCAGAGACTCTCCCTCCTCATTGGCTGAGACAGCAGTGGGAGCCATTGACTGTCAATGAAGAGAGAGAGGGGGCAAGGCCTAGCCACTGCTCTGTGGGTGAATAGACATACAGAGCACTGGCTTGGGAGCGAGCCTGCTCCGGTACCCCCATAGCAAGCTGCTTGCTTTGGGGGCACTTGGTAGGAGGGAGGGGCCAGGAGCGCCAGTGGTAGACCTGAGAAGAGGAAGATTGGGGCTGCTCTGTGCAAAACCACTGCACAGAACAGGTAAGTATAACATGTTTGTTATTTTTTTTTTTAATTGCCTTTAATATCACTTGAAAACGGCACATGCCTGTGAAAAGGCAGAAAAGTACAGTACCTAAAATTGTCAATAGGAGATGCTTTAAAACTCTTTATAGGTTGTCAGTTTAGAAGTAAGCACAAATTATGGCCCTAGAATTATTTCTCTCATTCTTACATATGCATGCTGGACCTACAATGGGGTAATGGGGTGCTTTTAATTTGTTTTGAATATTTATTTTATTTAATGTTTTTTCTCACTTTTTTTTTCACTCGACTTTTTTGCTCTCACAAGGGGGCTAACAAAGGAACACTAATGCAGACATTACATCTAAGGCAGGGGAGTCAAACTCAATTTCATTGGGCACCATCAGAATTATGGTTGCCTTTAAAGGGCCATTTGTATCCAAAAGACTACATGTCCAGACACCCCACCCCTCCTTACATCAGATGTCAAGATCCCCCCATCATCAGAAGTCAAGAGTCCCCCACCCTTACTTACATCACGAAGCACCTCCCTTACCTTATGCTGCTGGGAAGAAGCTGGGCAGCAGAAAGTGCAGGGTCTGGAGGAGGACCAGAGGGGGTCTGGACTCAGTTGCTGGAGTCTGCTGAATGCTTAGACCATGGGAAATGGAGATTAGGGGGTGCCATGGCTGCACAGAGAGGCCCAGGATCTGTAGGAGGAGTCCTGTCCTCCTCTGTGCTCAGCTACTGAGACAAGGTGGACGTGGTGGAGACGAGGTGCAAGGGCCACAAGAAATGGCCTGGTGGGCCAGATTTGACCCACGGGCCTTGTGTTTGACACATGCAATCTAAAGACTGGTAAACTGCAATAGGTTACATTTTTGTTTTTGGGTTTAGTTATCTTTTTATGTGTAGATTATAGCAGTCAACCTGACCATTCCTTGCATTTCCAGACCATCTGGAATTCAACTGTTTGTTAAATTGCAGTACCTTTAGTTTGTCTTTCCTTACAATGATATTACAATACAATTGTAATGATGGGGTTTATGGATTTGGCTTCACAAGCAACAGGAATATAGAATAGAACTCCTCTAATTGTAATGTTCTTGTAGCAGAAGTGACAGTACCAATAATGGCCACTAGAGGTCAGTAGAGTATCTCATATGTGGCCAGTGCTGAAGGCATGCCAGGTATAAGGAATGATGGCTTGGCTGCCAGATTGCTCTGCTTCAAAAAGTTCCCAAATATTTTCCTAACGTCTTTGTAAAATGCTATGGCAAATGCAAACATATTGGAGTGGTCCCATGCAAGAGGTTCATGTGCTATAGCACCTACTGTGCTGTGCAGTGAACTATGTTGTTTGCACAGCAGACTATTGCTATCACAATGTGTGAGTTGCATTCAGTGGCAAGATGAACATAGCTCCTACTGCAAATATCCAATAAATAATGGGCCTGATTTACTTAAAACAGTATTAAATGCAAAACCAAAAATGTAATTGTAAATGTATTGCAGCTTACCAGTCATTAGATGTGGTGGCTGCATTAGTTTTCTTTTTTTTCTGCTTTTCCTCTCCGTTGTCTCCTGGTGATCTGGCAAGTAACACATTTCCTGTAGTGGAGTGTGTCTGGATGAAAGAGCACAAGGGCATCTTTGAACAGCAGCATTGTCAGTCTAAGGGAGGGGGTGTTAGATGGACTAGCAGATTTAGATACAGTAACAAATTGAAGCCAAACTCCAGCTTACACTGCAGTTACACAAGCAGCCACTGCAATATTTTTGGGGTTTTTTTTTGTGGTTGTGGGGGATTAAGGTTTTACATAAAGAAATAAAAGCTGATCATTGTAAGCACCACCTGCCAGTTGTGAATGGTTTGTCCCAACTTTCTACTTGATACATTTTCAGGACAGCTTGTTCTGTTGACAATCAACAGACTTAATGGCTGGATCATCAGATGAAAATAAAAGAAAAAAAGCCTAAAAGAAAAAACCTAATACAGCCACCACATCTAAGAAAGGTAAGGTGCAATATAATAAGTATTTACTTTTGGGTTTATTATTGCTTTATGGATATGTATATGTGTCAATTGTGCGCTAACAATCTAATCATATGCTTTTGGGTCTATCTAAATATGCTATGCCCAGAGTTCAGCTGTTATATGAAGAACGTCTCAGTGAACCACGCCCCGTGAAGTATTGTATTGCGCCTGTGCATATCTTTGTGTGATTGTGCAATTGCCAATGCACCAGTGTACAAAAGTCCATGCACTGGTGCTTGAAGCAGACATTCTAGTGATACATATCTGTACATACACGGCCTTTTGTATGACAGCATAGTGTACAGGATTTTTTGACATGCTGATTAGCTTGTTGCATCGCATTTTATTGGCTAATGAGTGGATAACAAATTCAACTGCTTGGCTTGCGGTTGCTGTGTGTAATTCCCATTTAAAATCCCCTTTTGACAGAAAAAGGAATCAGGCATTCAGGAGTTGGCAGTATTTACTACCTTCTGAAACGCAGTCCAGTACAGATCACATTTTAGAGGCTTGGTAGAGACAGCTGCTTGTCTGAAAGAGATCAGAGTCTGTCAACCCAAACCCTTAGTGTATATTCAGGTCATAGAGGTGGAGTTGGGGGGACCATTGACAGGCTTTTGACTTTCCTTCCTCATGTTAATAGAGCATCCAGGGTGTTGAGCTTTCCAGTGAGCATAGAAGAAAATTACAAGCTATTCACAGAGACCTTAGGAAATTTTGTTCATCTGGCTGACTTGCAGCACTGGGGTCTTCGGTTGGAATACCAGCCTGGATGGAGTTTGCATAATTTCTGTTTGCTTTCATGGGCTTCCTCCCACATTCCAAAGACATGCTGGTAGGTCAGTTGGCTCCTGTCTAAACTGGCCCTAGTGTGAGTGTGTGTGTGTTTAGGGACCTTACATCGTAAGATCCTTGAGGTTGGGACTGATGTGAATGTGGAGTATGGAAAGCGCTGAGTAAAATCGTTGGTGCTATATACAGTAAATGTCTCTAATAATAAATAAAATAAGACTCTTAAGTGAGTTGATGTTTCCTCTATTTTAGTGGTCTCCCAAACTGTGGCCCGAAGGCCAGATGTGGCCCTTTGCTTGCCTTTATCTGGCCCTTGGGGACTATTCCTCCATCAACAGTGGGGCATAATTCCTGCCACTGACACAAATGATGGGGCACTATTCCTCCCACTAATATTAATGATGCAACAGTATTCCTCCCACTGAAACCAACAATGGGGCAGTATTCCTCCCACTGGCTCCAACAATGGGGCACTAGGTCTTGAACTGATACCAATGATGGGGCACTATTTATGCCACTAATACCAATGGTGGGGCATTACTCCTCCTCCTACTGACCACCAACCCTAAGATAAGGTTTACTCTCATTAATGCTGGGTCAGGGACATTTTCTACCCCTGCTGGCCACAATCTGGCCCCTGAAAGTCTGAAGGACAGTAAACTGGCCCTTTGTTTGAAATGTTTGGGGACCCCTGCCTGCTCTATTTAATCCTAAATCCAGTATTTTTATTCTGCATCACTGCCCCTAATATCCTGTGAATCACGCTCAGCCTTGACTTATCTATTTGGTAGGAATTGAGAGTTGTGATTTCCATCTCAGCACTTCTGTCATCTCACTCTGGACAGTGAAGGATTTGAGTGGCTTGAAGGAAAGTGGTTAGAACATAATTTATGGCTAATTGACATGTAATTAATCTGTCCAGTAAAACCTAATAGAAAGTTACAGTAGGATGGGTATCCAAATGGGTAATCTCAAAAACACTACAGTATATAGAAAAAAAGTGCACAGGACCACTTTGATTTTTTTTTTTTTTTTTTTTTTGCTGATTTTTCATGTTTTACACTTTTATGGTATTTCATTATCTGTTTTAATTGTTGTAATGCCAACCAATGTTCACTAAAAATAATTTAGTGCATCAGTAAAAAAAGTTAAAAAGTAATGATAAAAGAATGAATGCATCCACCATCCAAAGCCGGCCATACAAGAGTCAAATTCCGAAATAATTTTCTCAAACTCAAATTTCGTCATAAACTTAGGCCAAAATGTATTCTGCTACATGTTTTTGGTCAAAAAAAATCCCAATAAGTGTATATTGGTTGCTTTGTGTGAAAGTTATAGTGTCTACAAACTATGGTATAGAATTCAGGGGTAGGCAACCTGCGGCTCTCCAGCTATTGCAGGACTACAAGTTCCATCATGCCTCTGCAAGTCATAGCTGTAACTGTCAGTTTTGTAATGTTGCAATGCCTCATGGGAAATGTAGTTCTACAACAGCTAGAGAGCCGCAAGTTGCCTACCCCTGGTATAGATAATGGAATTTACACAGCTTTTACTTTCTGACTGCCCATCACATTTCTTGAGGTGCAAAAATAACAGGATAGTACAAACACCCCCAAATGACCACTTTTCAGAGAGTAGACACCCTAAGCTATCTGCTGAGAGGCATATTGAGTCCATGGAATAGACTGCGGACATAGTACAGGAGATGACCAGAGACTGCAGATATAGTACAGGAGACGTCAGAGACTGCAGACACAGTACAGGAGATGACCAGAGACTGCGGACACAGTACAGGAGATGACCAAAGGCTGCGGACATAGTACAGGAGATGACCAGAGACTGCGGACATAGTACAGGAGATGACCAGAGACTGCAGACCTTTGGGGAGCGGGGGGGGGGAGGGTACCCAAATTTGACAGGTACCCGCTTCCACTTTAGCAGAGATGTCCTCCCTGTAGTCTTGTGGGACACATGACAGGTCCCAGAAGACTACAGGTGGCCATTCACAAAGTGCAGCGCTTCTCGCGCATGCGCAGTGGGCACTTGGCTGTGAAGCCGCAAGCTCTCACAGCTGGGTGCCTATACTGAAGATGCCTGCGCTGGGGAGAGAAGACGGCTGGTGAAAGCAGGACACCACTGGACCGAGGAACAGGTAGGACCGAGGAGCAGGTTCTTCTGCACAGTAGAGTTGAGCTGCCAGCCGCTCCATATTTGCTCCATAAGACTCACACACATTTCCCCCTAAATTTTTTTGGGGAAAAAAGCGCATCTTATGGAGCAAAAAATATGGTAGTTAAATTTGCTGATTCCACCTGAATTCCGGGTTGGGCAGTGAATGAGGGAAGTACAGGTGCTGCAGAATTTGTGTGCTACCAATTGGGATTTGCACATCAGGAAGGATATTATGGGCTCTATGGGCCTGTGTGCAAATTCTTGGTGGTTACGGGACAATACTTGTGCACGCCATCGCACTAGCTTGTACTGCACTTATGGGACTCGCTACGTCACCAAGTGATACTGCAGTGCTGGCTCTAGTAATGGCACTCTGCTGCATATGAAAGTCATCAAAAAAAAGCAAGTGCTAGCAGAGATCAGGCCTGATTCTGTGAACACTGCGGTTTTGTGTGCAATGTATCAATTGACAGTGACCTACTGACACTGCACTTGCTGGGGGAGAAGGGGGGGTAAGCGTAGGGGCTAAGCGCAGGTGCTGGCAGGTGCCGGGGCTGATCCCGCTAACACTGTGTTTTTGGGGACACTATACTAATGTGAATGCTGGTGTAGTGCTGATCTGATCAAAGATATTAATCCGTTCAGACACTATACTAGCAATGGAGGTTTATTGTGTATGACTGTGTTCCTGGCAATCAAAGGGTTAAATATGACTACTGGTGTACTGACGGGCAATCTGGTGCTATCTGGGATGGAAGTGAAAACCACAGGAGCGCGAATCACGTATATATATACGTCATTTTGCGCATTCGTGCTGCCCAGTAGCAGTATTTCTGGTATAGGGCGGTCAGGAAACAGTTAAAGAAGCGGTTTATGTTACGGCACTGCGTTATTTTAACTGACAATTGCGCAAACATGCAAGGCTGCACCCAAACAAAATTTACGTCGTTTTTCCCCCACAAATTGAGCTTTCTTTCTTTGGTATTTGATCGCCTGTGCGTTTTTTTTTTTTTTTTGCGCTATAAATAAAAAGACCAACAAATTTGAAAAAAAACAATATTTTGGACTTTTTGCTATTAAACATGTCCAGTACAAAAATTTAAAATTCTAATTTCGTCAAAAATTTAGGCCAAAATGTATTATGCTACATGTCTTTGCTAAAAAAAATCCCAATACGTGTAAATTAATTGGTTTATGTGAAATTTATAGCGTTTACAAATGGCATGGTATACTGTAGATACTGGAATTTTTTTATACTAATAATGGCGGCGATCAGCGACTTAAGGCAGCGATCAGTGACTTATAGTGGGACTGCGGCAGGCATTCTGACACTGGGGGGAACTGACTTCTTGGTATCACTGACATCCCCAGTGACACCAATATAGTGATCAGTGCTAAGCACTGACACTGTACTAATGGCACTGGGCAGGAATGGGTTAACATGAGGGGCAATCAAAGGGTTAACTGTGTGATGGGAGTGTCTTACTAGGGGGTGGGAGGTGTGTTCTTCACTGTAAGCACACTGCCCTGGATGGCTCTGCTCAGCCATCCAGAGCAGTGTACCCAAACTGACAGAGTGGAGGGCTCTTGGTAAACAAAGCAGCCCTCTTCCCCCTGTCAGTGATTGCCAGTAATCACCGGGCGCTGGCCAGTAATTACCGTCCGGGACCCGGTGATTGACACCCGCAGCCACGAATGGCTAATATACGTGATTTTGCGCACAGGGGCCACCCTGTAGCAGTATAGCTACTATAGGGCAGTCCTTAAGCAGTTAAAAACCAACCATAATGTTGTTTTTATTACACATAAATACAGAATATTCTTAAAGCTGAACTCCAGGCAAAAAGACATGTCCTTGTTGCTGATTACCCACCTTCACTGAATATGTCCTCCATCTTCTGGTTCACTCAGTAGTTGCTCTGAAATATCCAATTAATTTTCAAATCAAACCATTAATTCTCTTTGATTTCCTGTTTGTGGCTGCTATGCCTCCTATTTCCCCAGACACTGGTCTTGACACATCCCTTCTGTAGTTCTTTCTTCAGGAAGCAGTGATGTAATTCAGTCCCACTTGTAGTGGTGGGCGGGCTGAGACTCTCAGACACATTCAACATGTAAAGGCCTAGTGTACTCGTCCATGTTCACTACAATTCTCTGTGGTTGATGGGAACTGTAGTTTCCTTTTATTGCAGGGAGAGAGGAGAGGATATGATGTAATCCCTGCTGTCACACCTCTTCCTTGGCAGAACAGATGCTGTAGTCTTTTGAATTACCGAGATAATGTCATGAAAATTCAAGTAGACTTTTTTCCTAAATGAAAAGGATTTTTAAAATTGTATTAACTGTTTAGTGTTTTGCGTAGGGTGGTGTACTAATGGGTGATTTGTTAAACATTTTAGCCATACCATAGAAACCTGTTAGATGAAAAGAACAGATTCGCAAAGCATTTCCTTCCTAAACTGTCCAGATTCTAACCTTTATTTTTCAATCCCTCAAAGAGGAGCTTCAAAGGGTTATATTGAAGGGTTATATTGAAGGGTTATATTGAGCTTGCTATTGGTCATTTAACATGATGGGCAGTCTTTGTGCTTGTGCTAATGGTCTATTAGTTGCATCAGATGGGGTTTGCATTCCCATATTATAGAAATCAAGATCGTATGCTCGTGTCAGGGAACTCTTAACGATCTCAGAAGCTGCTCAAACTGTTGTCTCATTTACGCAGTTAAATGAGGAAGCAAAAATATTTGGTTAAGCAGTGTTTTTTACCACCCCTGACTGCTGAGCTGCAAATTAACATGACCATCAGCCTTGTTAGTACACATTGCTGCAGTTGCAGCAGTGCAGCAAAACTTATACTGCCAACACCAATTGCAACCCATTCAAAAAACAAATTCAACTGCTTGGCTTACGGTTGCTGTGTGTAATTCCCATTTAAAATCCCCTTTTGACAGAAAAAGGAATCAGGCATTCAGGAGTTGGCAGTATTTACTACCTTCTGAAACGCAGTCCAGTACAGATCACGTTTTAGAGGCGTGGTAGAGACAGCTGCTTGTCTAAAAGAGACCAGAGTCTGTCAACCCAAACCCTTAGTGTATATTCAGGTCATAGAGGTGGAGTTGGGGGGACCATTGACAGGCTTTTGACTTTCCTTCCTCATGTTAATAGAGCATCCAGGGTGTTGAGCCTTCCAGTGAGCATAGAAGAAAATTACAAGCTATTCACAGAGACCTTAAGAAAGTTTGTTCATCTGGCTGACTTGCAGCACTGGGGTCTTCGGTTGGAATACCAGCCTGGATGGAGTTTGCATATTTTCTGTTTGCTTTCATGGGCTTCCTCCCACATTCCAAAGACATGCTGGTAGGTCAATTGGCTCCTGTCTAAACTGGCACTAGTGTGAGTGTGTGTGTGTTACATCGTAAGATCCTTGAGGTTGGGACTGATGTGAATGTGGAGTATGGAAAGCACTGAGTAAAATCGTTGGTGCTATATACAGTAAATGTCTCTAATAATAAATAAAATAAGACTCTTAAGTGAGTTGATGTTTCCTCTATTTTAGTGGTCTCCAAACTGTGGCCCGAAGGCCAGATGTGGCCCTTTGCTTGCCTTTATCTGGCCCTTGGGGACTATTCCTCCATCAACAGTGGGGCATAATTCCTGCCACTGACACAAATGATGGGGCACTATTCCTCCCACTAATATTAATGATGCAACAGTATTCCTCCCACTGAAACCAACAATGGGGCAGTATTCCTCCCACTGGCTCCAACAATGGGCACTAGGTCTTGAACTGATACCAATGATGGGACACTATTTATGCCACTAATACCAATGGTGGGGCATTACTCCTCCTCCTACTGACCACCAACCCTAAGATAAGGTTTACTCTCATTAATGCTGGGTCAGGGACATTTTCTACCCCTGCTGGCCACAATCTGGCCCCTGAAAGTCTGAACTGGCCCTTTGTTTGAAATGTTTGGGGACCCCTGCTCTATTTAATCTTAAATCCAGTATTTTTCTTCTGCATCACTGCCCCTCATATCCTGTGAATCACACTCAGCCTTGACTTATCTATTTGGTAGGAATTGAGAGTTGTGATTTCCATCTCAGTACTTCTGTTATCTCACTCTGGACAGTGAAGGATTTGAGTGGCTTGAAGGAAAGTGGTTAGAACATAATTTATGGCTAATTGACATGTAATTAATCTGTCCAGTAAAACCTAATAGAAAGTTACAGTAGGATGGGTATCCAAATGGGTAATCTCAAAAACACTACAGTATATAGAAAAAAAGTGCACAGGACCACTTTGATTTTTTTTTTTGCTGATTTTTTATGTTTTACACTTTTATGGTATTTCAATATCTGTTTTAATTGTTGTAATGCCAACCAATGTTCACTAAAAATAATTTAGTGCATCAGTAAAAAAAGATAAAAAGTAATGATAAAAGAATGAATGCATCCATCATCCAAAGTCGGCCATACAGAGTCAAATTCCGAAAGAATTTTCTTTCGAAAATCTTTTCTAAGAATTTTCGTTCACATTTCGCACCATTAGTAAGCCCAAGCAAAGGCCAATTTTTGAGCGACCATCAAATTTGAGTGATCAGGCATATTGGAAATTGTTTGAAAAACAAACAAATTTCTAATCAATGATGGGAGAATCGTGAGAGAAATGTAATTGATAAAGAAATGAACATGAGCTGTGACCTGGAAAGAAAAGAAAATTCATGGCCACGAAAATTGTTTTCTGTAGCAACATGAGGTGAAATTAAAGGCTTGGTTGGTCGAATTTCTAAATCAATAGTGGCACCATTGGATTACAAAAGGCACAAAATTCCGATTTTCTAAA